CATCTACCGTCTCTGTGGCAGCTTGAATTAGGCAGAAATCGCTCCCGGTAGCTGAGAGGATGAGTAAAACAGACGGAGGAAGAATCACAGTACCTTGAAACACATGCTGTGTTCTCTAGAAAGACAGCTGACCTAGGTATTAAATTTAGAATGAAAAACTCCTCCATTATATAGTATAGCGCTGCTGATTAATGTCTCGCGGTCAAGTGAACCATGCCGTGTATTGATTAGTTCCCAGAGAACATGTTTGCAGCCTGCAGGCCTCCAGTTAAATGCTGATCATTAAAGCAACAACAAAGGTTAGAACCATTAGCTGGGCCACATGCAATATTGCACAAGTCCCTGCGCAGACTAATCATTTACTGGTTTAATCAGGTTTTCTTTTCTAATGCATCGAGTAAGTCACGAGATATTTAGGATGTTTGTAGGTGTCAGTGAGTGCAGAACGCATGATGTGTTTGGAGGTGGAAAAAGTGAGTGGAGTCTATAGTTTATGCAAACACAATTAACGACTGCAGAATGAATTAAACCGAAAAACAGGAAAAAACGCATTAGACTCATTATGCAACAAGCAGATGGAAACCCATTGTATTTTAATAAATATATTTAGCCCAGTTTCACATACAAATGTATGTTTGAGCTGTTTTAACTGAAAGTAACTTGTTTTGTCTCAAGATGAACACTAGTAATGTTTTTTCTAGGGCACGTTTATTAAAGATACAATATGTAATTTTTTTTCGCCGATAGGGGTCGCTAACCTCATACAATAACAAAGACGTTGGTTGATGGCGTAAAATTTCAGTTGAAATATGGAAGTTGTCGTCAAGCTTATGGATCTAATAATGCTTATGGATGAGTGAATACATTGATGTTTTTTATCATGACTGTGGTATGAAGCAGGGTTCGATTACTAATGCGAGACAGATATCAGAGTCCCGCGGTTTCATTTGGTCTACACTATCACACTAAACTGCATTTGAGTTTGTTGAAAGTTATGTTAGTTTTTTGGCTGTGTGAGACTAGCAGTAAGCTAGAATTAAACTGATCATATTCTAACTAGTGCTGTCAAGCGATTAAAATATTTAATCGCTATTAATCGCATTAATGTCATAGTTAACTCGCAATTAATCGCACATTTTTATCTATTCTAAATGTATTTTGATTTCTTTTTGTCCCATTATTTTTTCTCATTTTAATGCTCTTATCAACATGGAAAAGTGGATCGGCTTGCTTTGTGCAAATGCGCGATAAAACAATTAACGGCGTTAAAATGGGTTTGCGTTAACGCCGTTTATAACACGTTTAACTGACAGCCCTAATTCTAACATTTCATCATGTTGAACTATATAGCTTTATGTGCATTTGCTCACCTCTCTAGTAAAGTACATGTAAGAGCTCTGTCAAGTCGAAGTTTGTTATGGACGTGGAGCTCTCGGCATCTCGAAAACGCCACGCTGATATTGATCCTCGTTTTAGTTCTCCTTTTCTCAAAATTCTTACATATTGCACCTTTAAAGGCAAAAGCTACTTACATGTCCTAATTGAACTAAGGCCTAATCCTGGTTTAATCTAAACCCTGACCTGTGAAACCAGGGCTTAAAATAACAACCCAAAGGTGGGTTTGTGAAGCCTGTGTTTAATCGAATTCTGTGGCGATCGAATAATTTGACCGCTCATCACATAGTGATCGTAGGGTTAGGATTAGCTCAATACAGCGCCTATGTGTAACACAAAGAGCTGTTGCGAGTAAACCTCACTCCCTTGGCCTCAAGAGTAAACGAGTAGCTTTTTTGTGAATCGTTTGAACAAATGATTCATTGATTCATTTGCAAGACAATCATGGCAAAAAAGTAACGCTTGAAGTCTTGTGTTGCCACCTACTGGTGTAACTAATGAAGTAACGGGTAATTTTTAAAAAAATGTCTGAATATGCGGCAGTCCGATGAAATAATCAGTACAGGAATCTATATGTCAGGAAATTAACGCGATTGAATACATTGTTTAGGGGTTTACAGTAGGCTAGTCCACACCTTAATCTCTTTATTGTACTGCACATTTTGGAAAACTTTTTAGGTTATGCCATTACTCTTTTCATACAAATAAAATTTTTAGTAATTATAGTAAAAATATTCCATCTGTTGGTAGCCTGTGTAGTTGTTTGCTGTTTCAGTCTTAGCGACGGTAATCATTTCAGAAAAGTCAGTAAGGCGTGGAGAGTAGAATGAACCCCACGAGCAAGTCAATATTCTGAGAAATAGAGCTAATTTCTTCCTGCCGTTGGAATCACTTTAGCACAGTCCGACTAATGAGGATAATGAGCTCTCACTGCAGTTGTGGCTCCTAGCTGGGCCGCATCGATGCACATCTGCCTGGAGACACTCATAAACACATTATGTATCAATGTTTTCAAAATCTCATATAATGTTATTTAAAAGAACACTTTGCGCTTTAAGTAAAATAACTTGGTAATTACAGCAACTTATTTACAGCCTGTTTAAGTCTATCACTTACATTATGAAATAGAACGTTTTCATAAAAAGATAAGAAGATAGATTTGGCAACATCTTAATAAGCCTGTATACACAGAGTATTAATTTTTGGCATGAAAAACATGCCCGGTAAGAACAATGTGACCCTCAAGTATTTACAATTATTTTCTTTCTTTTTTTTTTTCTTTCAGAAGATTTAGGGGTGTGAATATTTTTGATACTTTTTTAGCAAATGTTTTATATTTGATAAATTTTCATAAAAAAAATGTTTGTCTTGATTTTTTTTCTATTGTATTTGTCAATTAGTCTTTTGATTTAATTTAATTATTGTATGTTTTTACATTATATTCTGTTTTGTTTCAGAGTTTTCTAGTTTCTATACATTTAGTTTTTTGTGTTATTTTTAATGCAACCGTTGTGAGCAGATGTTTTAGACTTATATTTTACACGTTCTCATAATATTTTTATTAGAGTTTTTTTAATTTCCATTTTTATCAGCGTAGCTATCAACCCAATCTCGCGGAAATTCGTACAAATTTTACGAGTTGGCTAATTCGTAACAATTCGTATGACCTCACTCGTACGAATAAGTAAGATTTTTGCTAAATCGTACATATTTTACGAATTGGCTAATTTGTATGAATTCGTACGAATGACCTACCCCTGACCCCGCCCCTAAACCTACCCTTCACGTGGGTTTAGACAAATCGTATGAATTCGTACGAGTGAGGTCGTATGAATTAGTACAAATTACCCACTTTTTAATCACTCGTACGAATTCGTACAAATTGGTTGTGAGATAGCGTTGGTAGCTTTTGTTAGTTTTTCAGTGCAGTTGGGTTTTACTAAAACTACAATTTTACATTTTGACAAATTCGTTTTGAAAAAAAAAACATTAATTTGTGGTGATTTTAATTTAATATTATTTAATATATTTTTAGCTAATAGTGTCAGTTTATACCAGTTATGTTCACAGCTGAGGGTGAGTGATGTTTGGACTAGGAAAATGAGGAAACATGATGATGGTAGAGGCAGATGAACCCAAAAATGCTCTGGGGAAATATGTTCAAATGTGTTTATTGATCAATGAAATGGATCGTTAACAGATACATCACAAATACAGGGATACAGACAGAATGAAAAAAGTATAAACATGTTTTTCAGACTTTGTTTCCTTCATTTTTTAACATAATCAGGATGGCAAGATGATAAACAGGATGATGAGGATGATTGAGAATAGCACAGATGCTGATGAGTTTGAGGAATTGAGATCATGACTTCATGTCGCAAAGCAAACAGAAAACCGCATCCTTTCTAAAGTTACAGAAACTGTAAACATGAATCAGGGTCTAGCACCAACATGTAGCCGATGGGCGGCACAACCTTTGACACCTGACTTAGCTTAAGGCCTTCACAGAACACACAGGAAATATATATACGCAAGCCTTACTTCCACTCCATGCACCATCGCGTCAGCGCAAATACATCATTTCTGCACGAACCATAGTCAAATCAAGTGTAAATCCATAATAAGGTCTAAAATAATAACAGCACCAAAAGATTACAGGATGACGCTCACCAGTGTAGGTCCAGTTAGCACCACATGTTCTGTCAGCTAGACAGAAAACTTTCAGAGAGAGAGAGAGAGCGAGAGAGAGCAGACTTACACCAAACACAGAACCACAGATTAGCTTCTTAGCAAATACACACACACTGCACACGCGCATGTTGGACATTTCTCACAAAAGATGATCAACTAGTCGACTAAACATGCAAAAACGACTTTAATTGGTTCAATTTATGAGTTTAATCGGATGGTTTAATTTTTTTTTTTGCCGTTTAAAGAAGATGAGTTTGCAGACGGTTTTAGCATGGTAACTGGTTCAGATGCTAACATGCTAAAACGTAGCTTCTAGCGAAAAACAAATTTACCACCTTCTACACTAAATTTCAAGAAAATGATTGTCAGATGAATATATATTTTACTAATATAATATGATTATTAATGCAATTTTTTTATATTTTATGCACACTACCATTAAAAATGTAGGGTCAGGAAGATTTTTTTTTTTTATTTTAAAGAAATGCATAATTCAGCAAGGACAGACTTTTTTTAACCATTTTATCATTTGAAGATATGTATAATGTTATAAAAAATATAATGGTTTGCAGATATTAATCAGCAGAAATGCTTTCAACATTGATAATAATATGATATGTTTATTGAGCAGCAAATCACCATATTGAATGATTTCTGAAGGATCATGTGACACTGAAGACTGGAGTAATGATATTGAAAATTCAGAACAGGAATAAATTACATTTTAAAATATATTCAAATAGAATTTTATTTTATTATTGTAATAATATATTTATGATTTTTACTGTTTTTAATAAAATAAATGTAGCCTTGGTGAGCATAAGAGTCTTCTTTTAAAATAAAGTAAAATAAACCCTTACCAACCCCTAACTTTTAAATTGTAGTCTACATGCAATTTTTTTCTCCTGCCGTTTTTCAGTCATTGGATTTTAATGTCGCATGTCACTTCAAAACTTTGAAAAATTAATTTTGAGATCCCTGCATTGTTCCTGTTGCGCTCCATCTAGCCATTTTTGAATGTGAACGCCTCGCATTAAGACACATCTGATTGATGTCTAGTGGACATAAACCCTAATCCTAACTAACTAGTCGACAAGATGACTTGATTTTGAAAATATGTAGTTTTGCACATCAACATTGGTGGTCAGTTCAGAGTGATTAAACCGTTTAAAAGCAGTCAAAGTTTTCCACAGACAGTAATTCAGGTCATTGACTGCTTTAATCTCTCATCTTAGCCATTATACTCGCTGTAACCATGTCCACAGTGATCTTGCTGAGCTAGATTTGATTTGGAACATAGATGGCAGTTGATGCCCGAGCTGAACTCATCCGCCGTGCACATGGGCCGTGTCTGTCTCTGTTTACTTTTGCACTTGGCGAGTTCTAAATGCCTCTGCTCACCGCCGTCTCATATTTTATGCTCCGATTCTTATCATACTTGCTTAATATTACCACAGGATACACACCACCACCACGATACTCGATTTTTGTATTATTTAACGATTGCCTTTTCCTCTTAAGTTGTTCAAGGCAGACTTTTGTTTGATCGGCTGGGATTCTGGGAAATGTTCAGATGCGATCATGCATATCACACACACGCAGTAAGACAGAGAGAAGATAGAACCCTTACAAAAAAGTGCTGTAGTGGTATACCATGGTACTGGATTTTATGGATCATTGTATTTGCATGGTATTTTCAAGAATATCATGGTACATAGTACTAAAATACCATGGTACATGTTCAGAATATCATGATACTACCACGATAAAATGTCTAAAATACCATGGTAGTACCATGTCAAATGTCCAGGAGGTCATGCATGGTACCATGCACAAAAAAACAAGGTAGTACCATGGTCAAATTTTTAAAATATAGTAGTGCCATGTCCAAAATACCATCTTATGTCTAATGTCCAATGTCTAAAATTCCATAGTAGTACAATGGTAAAATGTTCAAAATACCATAGTACTACCATGGTACTATGTCCAAAGTACGTAGATACCATAGTAATAGTAGATGGGACCATGATACCATAGCAAAATACCATGGTAGTGTCATGGCACTGTGATCAAACATCATGGCACAATGTGCAAAATACCATGGTATAATCCCATTTCATGGTACTTATGATCAAAAAAACCATTGTACATTTTTGTAAGTGAAAGAAAGGAAGAAAAGTACTGTGACAGTACCATGGCAACACCATAGTGCTTTGATATTGAAATATTACCATACTAAAATCCTATGGTTTTCCCATGATATTGTTGGAAGTGTAGAGAGTGGATGTTTATATATTCCCAGACTTAAAATATATGTAAAGTAAATGAGAACAAATCGCTAAAAGGCATTTTAATCATATACTGATTAATTTATTAAGTCTGTCAGGACGGTTTGTCCCAAACCGAGTCATGAAGTACATGAACTTAAAGAATGTCCCATGTTTTTCCTTTGTTCTTTTCTTATTAAAACAATGAAAAAGGAAAAAAAAAAAGAAAATCTAGCATTGATACAGACACACATTCAAACACTGCTTGCCAGATACACGCACATAGTTTCCTTAAGATCGCGTACGTTTTCTCTCGCATCTAAAGGAAACGTTCCGGATGACAGCTTAGCACTTTAAGTACCACTTTAAAGTTGAGGTTGAGACCATTCGGTTTGTTCAAATGTACCAAACAAACAAACAAACGTATAAAATGTTAACGCAAGCAAATAACCGTATGTTCAAACATCCGTTCGATGCGAAGGACCGATCTAGAGTCAGACTGCAAAACGTGAGCCCCTCACAAGCCCCGATCACAAGAGATGGTGAAACGTTACATGATATAATATATCCTTGATTTTCTTCTCGGTTGATAATAAAGACACAGGACTGGATGTGAATGCTTGCATACACTTTTGAATCAAGCGCTGTCCTGAGTTGCTCTGGTGGTTCTGGTTCATACTTCAAGGTTCTAGGATCCCATCCAGACCTAAAAACAAGGCAGTCCGAAAGGAAATTACATGCTTGAACAGCAACCTTTCGGAACAAAAAAAATGGGAAGATACGAATTCTCAAATCTCTGTCCGTGCAAAACACGACCGAACGAGTGAGCGTTAAGCACGATAACGGTTCAAGCACTTCCTTTGCAGTTGCAATTCCACCGTCGGACAGAAAAAAAAATAGCTGAATTAAAATATTGGTCGTTGCAGTGGCTTGGTCTTCCCTCTGTTTTGACTGATATGCTTCATGTTAGGCAGAGGTTGAGGAGTCCCGTCCCGGCTGCGGGCGACCCTGCAGAAAAATGAACCACCATCTCTGATCTCGAAGGGAGCAAAGCAACACTGCACTGCCTTTCAATTCCGACAGACGGACAAAAGCGGTGCTCGAAAAACAAACGAATAAACTAAAACAAAAGCAAACAACACAATCCATAATTAAGGCTGTTAAAAATATTGCAGAATATTTTGGCCCCTGTTTTGAGACAGACTGCCACAACAGTCAAAAGTTCCCCCACTACATGTCACTGCAAAATAAAGAGAAAGAAGTGAAAAGATGTATAGAAAAGAAAAAAAAAAGATCCTCTTTGGAGAGATTTATTTGGTTTGGGAGTGTTTTAAAGGGAATCGTAAATATCTCTGAAAATTAAATCGGCTCGGCTCCCGCGACAGCGTTTTCATCTTTTTTTTTTTCTTCCGTGTTTTCAACGTGCACTTGTAAAACCTAAACGTATAGCAATCAGCGATTTCCATGTGGAACAGTGGCACGCTGGACGTCGCAATGCACCGTGGGATCCTTGCAGTCCTACAGCGAGTGCACCGGGGCCAATGAGAGAACAGAAGGGGGTTTTAGGAGAAATGCGCCCCTCATCTCCTGGAGAGGGGAGTCAAAGCAAAGGCCCTCGCTGCTCTCCTCGAGCGAGACACAGGTCGAGAGCCAAAGTCTGCAAGTTTGGGGTGTTACGCCACTGTGTCTTGTGGCTGTCAGACTCACACCCACTCCTGCATGGAGCGTTTACAGTACAGTATGTGGCGGGGCGTCCCCTTCCTCTTGAACTGAAAGACGGTGTAGATCAACACCACCAGGCAGAGCGCCAGGACGCAGGGAATGACGATGGCGATGGCTTTGACCGTGCTGGCTTCACTGTCCAGTTTAATCACGACGTCCTCGTCGTCCGTCGGCTGCAGGTCGGGGTCGATGGGCGTGAGGTCGCATCCCATGAAGTCTTTCAGGATAGAGCGAGGGTAGCCCGGCTCCACCCGCAGCCTGTGGTTGTTGAACTTCCAGTATTCTTTACCCTTGTAGAAGTACGTGAAACCTGCAAAACATCGACACATTTGTTAGATGCTATTATATTCCTATTTATATCGGATATTTCATTCATGCCCATTTCCACCTTACATTTTTTATTACGTTTGCAGACATGTAAATGTAATCTCTAGCAAATCACAAATTGAATATCTGTTTTTCATATACAGATAATATAATAATATTGTGATGCCTAAATTCACTTGTAGCATTGAAATGTATTGATTTGTTGTGTATATATATAGATATCTTATATCTTTTAAGGGCTGTCAAACGATTAATTGCGATTAATTGCATCCAAAATAAAAGTTTGTGTTTACATTATATATGAGTGTACTGTGTATAATTATTTTGTGTATATATATATATATATATATATATATATATAAATACACACACATGCATGTATATTTAAGAAACAAAATATTTATATTTATATATAATATAAATTATATATAAATATATATATATACATTTCTTAAATATATACAAGCATGTGTGTGTATTTATATATATAAAATAATTATACACAGTACACCCACAAATATTATGTAAACACATTAACTTTTATTGTGATTAATCGCGATTAATCGTTTAACAGCCCTAGTTTGTTTATATAATATGTGTATGTGTGTGTATATGTGTATATATACATATAATATACACACATATATTATATAAACATACTTTTATGTTATATTAGATGTGTTTAATCGTAATTAATCGATTGGACAGCACAAATTTTAGTATAATTTTTATTTTATTTTTGATTGAATACATTGATTTTGGTTTTGTTAGTTATTGTAAAATCTAAAAACATTAAGGTTTTATTTAGATTTTTTTTAAATATCATAGTTTATAATTCTATATATTTGTTAGATATTAGTTTTTTTTATTTAAAAAATGTTTAATTCATTTCTCATATTTAGCATATAGCATTTTCACTTTCCTCTCAAAAGGTTATAAAAAACCTATTCGTTTTGCTACCATTACGATACACTATTTATTTAATTGAATGTAATTAAATTTTTTCCAAAACCACAGGTCTGCTGGAATAGACGTTGAGCCATGGTGCACCTGTCGGTCATGCAAGTTCCAACCTGACATTTATCCTGATCTCATATCTCCCCAATAATTTCCTGTCGCTCTTCCACTAAATCTGTTTAATAAAGATTCTAAATCCTTGATATAAAAATGTTTCACACTGGAACAGGGGCTCAGTGTGATTTGAAAGACACTGAACCAAAGAGAAAGGCTTATGGTAAGACCACTGTGTTATCGTAAAATCTATACTTGCAATAAAACAGGACTAGAGCTGAAGAAAGAAAAAAAACAAAAAACTGTCCTTTCCGATCTCCCCATGATCGGCTGGCCATGATGACGCATAATTAGGGTCAATTTTCTCTACTCTGTCTCGCCCACAGAGGCCTTTTGGGTAACGTGCAGAGACAGGGCTGAAAGAAAGCCCACAATCACTTTCAAAGTGTGGTTAGCCAAACAGTTTCCCTGGAATATCAATCCACCCTTCACGCTCAGATGATCGCCTGCGTCCACAGGCAAACCTGGCACCGAGGCTGGGCGCAGATGGCATGTGTGTGGCTGTCGACCTGCAGGTCTGCAGTTATGGACCGAACTCATGCAAGACGAGAGCTCATACAGAGATTCACACTTGTCCTGAACTGCACAACTTGTTCTTGTACAGAATGAATATAGGGCATTGTAAATGAGAATTACACTGATTTAAACTGCTTCAAAATAGACAGAAAGATTGGTGGTAACACTTTACTTGAAGGGGTGTGCATAAGACTGACATTACACCTTCATAATCATGACATGTTATGAATATGAAGGAAGTTTTATGCATGTTTGTGACAACTGTCATTAAGTGTCATTCGCTCAGAGATCAGAACTGGGAACTTGAAAGTATGTCAAAACTAATATGAATTTTGAATATTGAAGCATGAATACCTATTCTAGTAGACCCCCAAAACAAATCCGAGACTTAACCAGTCCTTAGTTATGTTTTGTATTTATTTTTTTTAGTTGGTTTTGGTTATTTTTTTATGGTAAATCACTTTCAGATTATTTCCCTCTGCCATTGCAACTTTTTCTAAACTGTTTTTTTTTTTTTTTCCGAATTTGGATCAAATCAATTGACCTAATTAGTGAAGAAACCCCAGGGATTTATGGGAAGATGACAAAGCAATGAGATTGGGAAATGTTGCAAGCCAGATTCAAACTCGTGTCATCAGCATGAGCACCACAACAGTAACCACTAGCTCACATTTCTGACAAGATGTTCAATTTTACTTAGCATATCAAATCATGATCTTATTAAAGGTTTAGTTGACTTATAGAAGTGGTCCGTATGACTTGTGTATGCCATTTTCCATGCATTACATTTGAAAGTAGAACAGGGAAGGTTAAATATCACTATGTTCCGCACACAAAGCTTTTTATATCATTATTATTGATTTTTTTATTGCATTTTCAAATTTCAACAACTTAAAACTTGATTGAATTACATTAGAGAATACATCATGAAAAAATGAAACATACCGTTAGCTTTGTCCACAAATGCTCCCTGTGGAGAATCTGGAACACCCTTCCATACTGTGATGGACTTGGGATAACCAGGATCCATCGTTCTCATGTCTTCGTTATATCTCCAATACCTGTATAAAGGTAAGTAGAGAAAGTTACACACACACACACACACAAACACAAACACAAACACACAAGCCGTGCACATACCTATCTCCTTTGAAGAAGTAGGTCTTGGCTACGTCCTCCCACCAGACGGCTGTCTCTATACTCTGAGCTGGCATGCCGTTTCCAAACATTGAGATGTCCTGGGGGTAGCCAGGCTGTAGCATTGTGTCCTTGAACACCCAGAACTGCTTCCCTAGAAAAAGCACAAGAACAAAGAAGAAATCAGGGGATTACTGTGTTCAGCCCAGGGTACAGTTTCACCGGGCCAAATGAGAGCGCTCAGTGATTCAGCTCAGCCAAAGGAAGAAAATGTAAATCATAGTTTCTATAAATTCTCTTTGACTTGCTGATTTGTTCAAGTGTTGCTCCACTTACAGCTGAGGGATAAGTTGAATTTGGATTATATATTGATTATAAATACTGGTGATTTTAATGCACTTTTTAGTTGGCTATTAAACCTTTGTTACTGATTGCATTGTGATTCTTCCTGTGACTTAAGTATAAGAGTGTTGACAAAAATAGCATTATTCATATTTAGTGAATAACAGTGACGAAAATATACCTTGATTGATTGTACTGTATTGACTGTAATGGCTGAAATATTGATTTATATATATATATATATATATATATTCTGACTGATTGTTTTTAATTTACATTTTACTTTAAAATGTTTTAATACATTTTAATTGGTAACACTGTATTTTGATAGTCCACTTTAGACATTCAACTCACTATAAGTAACTTTGCCGCTACATGTCAACTAACTATACTAGAGTATTAGTAGACTGTCAGCTTAATATCTGCTAACACTTTATTTTGTTGGTCCCCCAACAGACATTCAACTGACTGTAAGTAACTTAGCAACTACAAGTCAACTTGTTCTCCTAACCTGAACCCTAACACCTAACCCTAACCTAACAGTCTACTGACAGTCTACTACAGCCTACTAATACTATAATGACACTTAGTTGACATGTAGTTGAAAAGTTACTTATAATTAATAGAATGTCTAAAGTGACTATCGAAATAAAGTGAGTACAATAGAGAATTACTACAGTAGAAAATTACTAGCAATTGTTACTAAATATTACAGTAAGTACAGTCTTACGGCAAATATCTACATATATATACATATATTATTTTTTTTTGCATGTATATACTGTATATATATATTTATACATAATGTATATATTAAATGTTAATATTAATGTTTTATATAAAAACACAACAAATTTGTGTGTATTTATATATACAAAATAATTATACACAGTACACATTTATGTTATGTAAACACAAATATTTTATTTTGGATGTGATTAATCATTGCCCAGCACTAATATATATATATATTAGTGCATACACAGTGTGTGTGTTTCATGTGGAAACAAACACATTTGTTCACACTCATTGCTGGTAGAAAGCAGCACACAGTGAGGATCGCTAACACTGACCTCTCAGCATTTAACTAGGTCAGAAAGCATAGCCAAATCTGGAAGTTTAAATGTGTTGCTCTGGATAGCATTGACCTCAAGCCGACATTTACAACAAAATTTTCCTGTAATTTCACTTTCACATACTCGCACAATCACTGGCAAAACACAGACACTCGAGCTCTCTTGCACTCATCGGCCCTGTCGGGGGGTTCTGACCGGCAGAGAGAGACGCTGACCCCGCTGAGAGGGTCATGAGAAAGACCCCAGGTGACGTGACAGGCATTTCCTCTTCCAGAGAAAATGACGGGCCTGTCCTCCGCTGACCCCTCGGACTCCAAACAAACCAGGACACCCTTAACCCCGTCCACTGTGGACATGCATCACAGAGGGTTTCCTGAGCTTAGAGGGTCAGCGCTGCACCCCTGTAAGCAACCCACACTGACATCTTAAAGTCAAGGCATTAACATGTCAGGTCTGAGTAACAGTGGCAGACGTACGGGCAAAGGCCCGGTCACGGTGATTAAATGCAAACAGGAAGTGCCTGAGCTGTGAAATTGAATGTTTGGTTTTGCTGAAGCAGACATTTATTTGGAAATGATGTAAATATTAGGGATATTCCATATCAATAACCTCAGTGTCAAATTATCAGGAAATATGATTATGGGCATCCTCACACAGTTTTTACAGACATGCTGTATATGTGTGTGTGTGTGTGTATGATGTATATGTACATATATAGAACTGTAAAGTATTTATACATTATGCTACAGCTAAAATCTTAGTACGGACTATGGACTTTGATTTAAACTAAAAAAGTACAAATAAAATTACAATAATTTGCATTGTAATATTCTTAATAGACTATTTTTATAATGGCATAAATGCTACGTGGAATCTCAATATCTCAGCTCTGGAAGGGTCTAGAGACTCCATTGTTGCACTCAGGTCTAAGTCTCACAGCCCTCTATCAGAATCCAGAGTTTTGAGAAGATTGGAGAAACTCAAAATTTCGCCCCCCGAAAAAAAAAACGACAGTGTTACCCCTTACGTTTTTTTTCGGGGGGCGAAATTTTGAGTTTCTCTGATCTTCTCGAAACTCTGGATTCTGATAGAGGGCCATGAGACTTAGACCTGAGTGCAAAAATGGACTCTCTAGACCCTTCCTGAGCTGAGATATTGAGATCCCACGTAGCACGTATCCCATTATAAAAATAGTGGGTTCGCGGACGGTGGAATTTGGGGACAGCCCTTGGTGCCACAGACTCAGGGGGCCTCCCTGAGTGCAGTAAAATGGTTTTCATCCCAAAATTTTGAAAGCTAAGCTTAAAGACCACGTGTCCACAAACCCACTATTTGTCCAATAACCCACTATTTTTATAATGGCATAAATGCTACGTGGGATCTCAATATCTCAGCTCTGGAAGGGGCTAGAGCCTCCATTTTTGCACTCAGGTCTAAGTCTCATGGCCCTCTATCAGAATCCAGAGTTTTGGGAAGATTGGAGAAACTTAAATTTTCGCCCGAAAAAAAAACAAACGTAAGGGGTACCACTGTCGTTTTTTTTTTCGGGCCGAATTTTTGAGTTTCGATATCTCAGCTCTGGAAGGGGCTAGAGCCTCCATTTTTGCACTCAGGTCTAAGTCTCATTGCCCTCTATCAGAATCCAGAGTTTTGGGAAGATTGGAGAAACTTAAATTTTCGCCCGAAAAAAAAAAAAACGTAAGGGGTACCACTGTCGTTTTTTTTTTCGGGCCGAATTTTTGAGTTTCGATATCTCAGCTCTGGATGGGGCTAGAGCCTCCATTTTTGCACTCAGGTCTAAGTCTCATGGCCCTCTATCAGAATCCCGAGTTTTGGGAAGATTGGAGAAACTTAATTTTTCACCCGAAAAAAAAAACGTAAGGGGTACCACTGTCGTTTTTTTTTCGGGCCGAATATTTGAGTTTCGATATCTCAGCTCTGGAAGGGGCTAGAGCCTCCATTTTTGCACTCAGGTCTAAGTCTCATGGCCCTCTATCAGAATCCAAAGTTTTGGGAAGATTGGAGAAACTTAATTTTTCACCCGAAAAAAAAAAACATAAGGGGTACCACTGTCGTTTTTTTTTTCGGTCGAATTTTTGAGTTTCGATATCTCAGCTCTGGAAGGGGCTAGAGCCTCCATTTTTGCACTCAGGTCTAAGTCTCATGGCCCTCTATCAGAATCCAGAGTTTTGGGAAGATTGGAGAAACTTAATTTTTCACCCGAAAAAAAAAAAAGTAAGGGGTACCACTGTCGTTTTTTTTTCGGGCCGAATATTTGAGTTTCGATATCTCAGCTCTGGAAGGGGCTAGAGCCTCCATTTTTGCACTCAGGTCTAAGTCTCATGGCCCTCTATCAGAATCCAGAGTTTTGAGAAGATTGGAGAAACTTAATTTTTCGCCCGAAAATGAAAAAAAACGTAAAGGGTAACACTGTCGTTTTTTTTTTTTCGGGTCGAAATTTTGAGTTGCGATATCTCAGCTCTGGAAGGGTCTAGAGCCTCCATTTTTGCACTCAGGTCAAAGTCTCACAGCCCTCTATCATAATCCAGAGTTTTGAGAAGATTTGAGAAACTTAATTTTTCGCCCGAAAATGAAAAAAAACGTAAGGGGTAACACTGTCGTTTTTTTTTTCGGGTCGAAATTTTGAGTTGCGATATCTCAGCTCTGGAAGGGTCTAGAGCCTCCATTTTTGCACTCAGGTCAAAGTCTCACAGCCCTCTATCATAATCCAGAGTTTTGAGAAGATTTGAGAAACTTAATTTTTCGCCCGAAAATGAAAAAAAACGAAAGGGGTAACACTGTCGTTTTTTTTTCGGGTCGAAATTTTGAGTTGCGATATCTCAGCTCTGGAAGGTTCTAGAGCCTCCATTTTTGCACTCAGGTCAAAGTCTCACAGCCCTCTATCATAATCCAGAGTTTTGAGAAGATTGGAGAAACTTAATTTTTCGGCCGAAAATGAAAAAAAACGTAAGGGGTAACACTGTCGTTTTTTTTTCGGGTCGAAATTTTGAGTTGCGATATCTCAGCTCTGGAAGGGTCTAGAGCCTCCATTTTTGCACTCAGCTCAAAGTCTCACAGCCCTCTATCATAATCCAGAGTTTTGAGAAGATTGGAGAAACTTAATTTTTCGGCCGAAAATGAAAAAAAACGTAAGGGGTAACACTGTCGTTTTTTTTTCGGGTCGAAATTTTGAGTTTCGATATCTCAGCTCTGGAAGGGTCTAGAGCCTCCATTTTTGCACTCAGGTCAAAGTCTCACAGCCCTCTATCATAATCCAGAGTTTTGAGAAGATTGGAGAAACTTAATTTTTCGCCCGAAAATGAAAAAAAACGTAAGGGGTAACACTGTCGTTTTTTTTTCTGGTCGAAATTTTGAATTTTGATATCTCAGCTCTGGAAGGGTCTAGAGCCTCCATTTTTGCACTCAGGTCAAAGTCTCACAGCCCTCTATCATAATCCAGAGTTTTGAGAAGATTGGAGAAACTTAATTTTTCGCCGAAAATGAAAAAAAACGAAAGGGGTAACACTGTCGTTTTTTTTTCGGGTCGAAATTTTGAATTTTGATATCTCAGCTCTGGAAGGGTCTAGAGCCTCCATTTTTGCACTCAGGTCAAAGTCTCACAGCCCTCTATCATAATCCAGAGTTTTGAGAAGATTGGAGAAACTTAATTTTTCGGCCGAAAATGAAAAAAAACGTAAGGGGTAACACTGTCGTTTTTTTTTCGGGTCGAAATTTT